TGGTGTTCTTGTGATTGACTGAAATGGTACAACCACTATAAATTCTCTCAGGTAGAGACCAACAAGTGTAGAAACATTGAAGGACTCAAGAAGTTGTTTGGGAATAATATCTAACCTCATAGCTATATATGGAGTCACAAAAGATAGACTCATACCTGGATCTAACAAAGCATATACATCAAAACTAAAAACTTTGATCATACCAGTGACAACATTAGACGAATTATCTTGCTTTTGGAAACTAGTGATAGCATACAGACGGTTTTCCCCTCCACTTGTCCCTGAAGTAGCTGCTCTAGGTGCAACTCTGTCTAGTGGAGTCACTGAAGAATATTGGGCTCTATTGCCCCCCATTTCCACCACCCTTCCTATTCTTTGGGAACTCCCTCACGAAGTGACCATTGTGAGCACACTTGAAGCAACTAGTGGAACCATCACGACAGACTCCTGAGTGGTTCCTACCACACTTAGCACATGCAGGAGTCCTATTACCTCGTTATGCCACACTACCCGAAAACTGTGCAGGTCTAGCTTTGAAATTCTGTGAATTCTGAATCTTGAACTCACCTCTGTTCCTTGGTGCAGGTGCACTAGCACACGATGGAGTAGGTCAATTTTGCTTTTGCTGGAAAGACGTCTGGTTCGCATTACTCTTCTAATTTCTGGACTCGTTCCCTATTGTCCTAGATTTCTTGTTTCTAAACTCTTCTCTATCTCTCATCTTATCTTCCTCAACCTACTGCACATGGATCATAAGTCTTTGCTATGTCCGTATCTCCTATCAACATAGCTGCCTTACCCTCTTTGCTTGACAGACGAGACAACCTAGAAACAGACAAACTCATTCTGCTCCTCATATCATCAACCATCTCCGGAGCATAGCGGGAAAGTTGGGTGAACTTGAGGCCATACTTATGCAAACTCATAGATTCGTTGCTTAAGAGTGAGGAATTCCCTTACCTTAGCCTCTCTCAGTTCATGGGTAAAGAAACGCCCCATGAAGGCACCTTCGAACATAACCTATCTCACAATTGGTGCACCCTCAACTCTGCTCTTCTTCCATGTGGTACGGTGCACCCTCAACTCTACTCTTCTTCCATTGGTCGTACCACACTCTAGCAACACCCTTTATGTCACAAACCAAGGCTAACCCCCTAGATACGATACGGTGTACTTGACCCTGAAGGGGTCTCAAACAAGCCTCATAGCATTTCATTGCATTCGATATAGAAACATTATGGAATTAAAAACTTATTTAAATCCAAACAATCCAAAAATTTCATTTAAAAACACAACGGAAGTCTAAAGTCTCACATGGCCATCTAAACAATGTCTTGAAAACTAAAGTAGGGTCATAGGTCTTTACAATCAAAACACTAACAATTGCCTATTACATGAAAGAAAAGAAGCTTCTAAAGTACTTGTCCTCAATCTATGAGGACATACCACTAGGCCTTGGAAGGGATCTTGATCCAAGCACTTGAACTAGAGAGAAGCAACTCACTTGCCGGAACCTACACTTGTAGTAAAACATGGAGAAATATGGGTAAGCACAATTAAGCACTAAGTATGATATACATGCAAAAACATGCTTAAAACGGACATTTTATTTGAAAGTCATGCTTGTATGCCATTTTGATAAAACTTCATGAACATAAGTATAAGAGACATATTGTACAAACATAACCAACATATAAGTCATTTCTCACAATAGAGCCATAAACAACATTTAAACCATTACCTTCACATTAAGCCTTCACCTCAAGTAACCCTTATGCTATACCTTGTGCAATGTATGGATAGCGTCCCCTACCACCATCCACACTAAAGTACCACATTAAGGTCAGTAAAAGTGAACTTACCATTCAACCTTTGACCTTTACACAATCCATACATAAGAGACATAAATATTTCATAAGTCATGACAAGGGAAAGTAACTTATAATACAACCCAAGTATAGCATGCATAGTTACATTAGACATTTAAGTCAAAATTCTTCATTAGCTTCATTAAAAGGACTTTCATACATTAGTAATTAAGACTTAGAGAACTCACTATGACCCTCTCAAAGCCTACTCGTGCAATGCATGGATGGCATCACATATTACGTCACACACTTCATAGAACTTCTCAAGAAACCATAATGCACATCTCACATGATGGGAATAAGCATTAATCGACATAGACCATGAGAGCTAACCATGGAATCCAGTGTCATATGGCCCCACACCGTAAACATGTGTCCTACTTTCCTAAGGTAGAACTAGGTACATTTAGCTTGGATGGAATCCACTAGCTAAAATCCTATGTGGGCACATATTTATGGGATAGGAAGATGTTCATTGGAACCCTAGCCTAACATTGGGAGAGTTTCCATCTTACCATATCCACTTAGTGCTTAGCCTCCATTCTCATAGAATAGTTCATTTACATTTTATTATTGTGCTTGAGAGGAATGCCATTGGCCTATTGACCCAAGACACATCATTACAAATGAAAGGAATTCCATAGGCTTATCGATTCATGGTACATTACATGGATAGCTCATTGAATCCTCAAGAAGGGCCACCAACATTTGGGTCCACCGATACAAGGTTCATTATTTCACACATGAAAGTGCTACCAACACTAGGACTACCAATTCAAGGTTTAACATCACATTAATTTCTAGACTCATCATGAAGGGATACCAACACTAGGTCTACCGGTTCAAGACATAGCCTAGAATACTTCATCATTCAATTGTTAAAGGAATGCCCTAAGCCTATTGATTCACATTCATCAAGTCAATATACATTCATCAATATAAGAAAAGGTGCCTTAGCCTACCAATTCAAGATATATCAATCCACATTACTTTCATTTATAAAAGAATAGGATGCATTAACCTACCAATTCAAGATATACAATTGCCATGAAGAACCCTTCACATTACATCATCAATATTCATAAGTGTCAAATTGAGAAATAGCCTTTCAATAATAACACAATTACATTCAATACATGATCACATTAACTTCATTGGATTCACATTCATACACAAGATATCATGATAATACTTCAATTCCTCATTCCATGCCTTCAAGACCATGAATCTCAAATCATCAACTAACCAACAATTTACCATAATTAAGGCATGGATAATGATACAATTCAATATACCATAGCAATTTAGACATATTCCATTCATAAGCTTTCATAATCATCAAACCCACTTCATAAAGGCACAATTTAGGAATTGAGAGAATTCATGGGTTCATAGAGTATTTTCATCATAAATAATCAATTAAACATTAATACAATCATATTATGTCATTAATAACCATTTGAAAACGTTTGATTAAGGAACCCATGAGATTGAGTAAAACCCTAGGTTTTTGATAACGTGAAATCACCTTTGGAATTGGCTCCTTGAATGAAAAGTTAAACAAGGATGAAGACTACCATACCTTTCTATTGATTCCCCACGAAATTTGAGGAAGAAACGCCTTGAATCCACAAACCCTAGCTTCAATGGCTCCTTTCTTCTTCCTTGAGTTTAGAGAGAGAAATTTTGGAAGGACGAAATCTTTGTTTTGATTTGGGGAAATAAGGAGTAAATGACTTGTTTAAAGACTTAAAACGACATATACTAGTGATATAAACCATTTAAAATCAACCCCCGCATAATAATTAATAAAAGGGAAATTACTTAAAACTCCCCATTTTAGGCAGCCCCGTCTGGGACCATGCCCAACTTAATGGGTCGTGAGGGACACCACAACTAGTGGTGGTGCCCGTAGTCCCTTAGGCAGTGTACTCCTCTAACTTTCCAAGCCATCAAAGGCCTAAGGCAAGTCCACGAGACCTTCCATGATCTGTGTTCAAGTCCACGAGTCGTGGTGATGGTCGTGGTCATGGAGGCAGTAGCTTGGCGAAGTTGCCTTGCCACCAAGTGATCTTGATGACCACTTTGATGGACCGTCTAGGGCACCACAGCTTGTTTGTGGTGCCCGTGATCTTTAGGAAAGCAACTGCCTCATCAAGAGACAACCCTCATCAAGCTAAGGAAATCCCACAAGCCTTCCCATGGCCCGTGGTCATGAACACGAGCCGTGAAGTGGCTCGTGAAGGAGAGGCTTGGCTTGGCACCATTCTAGAGCTTACTGCCTAGCCAACCACGGGTGGTACCACGACTCGTGGTGGCCACCACGGGTCGTGAAGACTCTCGTGGTCTAGGAAGGCAGTAGCTAGGCCTAGTTTTAGGTTGCCTAGGTTCCCAAACCATGGCCTACACCCAAAACCCTTAGTCCTTGCCCTTAACTTTTGACGTCAACCCTCACATTTAGGCTCTTGTTTAACCTATCATTTTCCAGGTCATTATATTATCCCCCCCTTAGGAACATTCATCCTCGAATGACACTTTAAACACTTTAAGGGATAACAACTCAAGACTAGCAGCCCATTATGCATGACACATTAATATAAATGCATAACCATAAGAGGAATATCAAGTCCACATCAATAAACTCAATGCATTACAAGAAAGTAGGAACTACTTCTACAAACTCATTATGCACAAAAACATTACATTTATTATTTCGTTAGAGGAACTTCCTTCTCCAACTCACATCATTCTCATTACAACATCATAAGGCAATTATGCAACTTTTTCAAAAACACATATAGGCATGCTCAACAATTCAACTCATGAAGCATTTAGGGAACTCATTATAGATGCATATCAACATGAGGAACACAATCATGAAAACTTATTTTTCTCATATAACATAAATCTCATCAAAACATGCATGGCATAAGGAGATCATGGAAACACATTAATCACACATGTCTCCAAAACATGAAACAAGTTACAAGGAATTTTTGGTCTCAAGCTTGAATAGGAATAGAAGAAAGTGACAAGGGTATCAAAACTCTCCACAACCTTACTATTCAACATATTATTTCCCACTTAAGAGAAACCCAACTAAAGAAAATCATTCATGACCATAAGGAACTATCACTTACCGGTGCCTTTATCTGGATTAGCTCCTTTGTCCTTGTTAGCTTGAAGAGCATAGAAATGATTCCTCTTTGGAGCATCAAGATCCGGGCCATTAAGAGAAGCTTGTTTGGCCTCCCTTCCTTTGGTCGTAAGAGTAGGAAAATTTCTCATTTGATGATCACTTTTTCCACACCCATAACACCCACTAGTACCGACTAAGCACTTCCCATAGTGTCTTTTATCACAAGTGGTGCAAGTAGGTTTAGAAAATTAAGATTCACCACCTTTCTCTTGGTTAACCTTAGGAGTGCTTGAAGAATCTTGATTTGGAGTTCTCTTCTTGAACCTAGGTTGACCTTGCTCATCGGGCCTAGACCTCTTCAACTCTCTATTATTCCTCTTGAGTTTGAACTCCTCAATAGATTGAGCATACACCATGAGTCTAGAAATGTTCATATCATCATGGAGCATCGCCGTATGACACTCTTCCTCAACTAGGTTGGATATACCGGTAACAAACCTACTCATCTCATCTCTAGGGTTAGACCCCAAAGATGGAGCATACTTAGACAATTGGGTAAACTTCAAGGAGTACTCTTGGACACTCATGTTATCTTGCCTAAGGTTGATAAACTCCTCCATCTTAACCACCTTCTTCTCACGGGGAAAGAACCTACCAAGAAAAGCTTTCTTGAACAATTCCCAATCTATAGACCTCGCTCTTATAGGCCTGTTGCTCTTCCATTGAGTAAACAAAATTTGGGCAACATCTTTCAATTGGTAGGCAGCAAGTTCCCTTTTTTTAATAGAAGTAACTCCCATAGAATTGACTATCTTATACACCTCATCCAAAAAGTTTTGGGGATCCTCTCCTACCTTGGAACCTAGAAAACCGGTGGGTTCATCCTCACAAAGTCCCTCAACCTAGAAGCCATAGTACTCTCAATATAATTCACTCTAGGCCCCACAACTCTAGTAACTTGTGCTGTCATAGCTTGGGCTAAGGTTAGAAAAGATGACCTAATTTCATCATTAGTCATGGCCGGAGCATCAACCAAAACTTGGTCGTCTTGAGGACCTTGGGGAGGAACTCCCTCATTCACAACTTCCTCTTCCACTCTCCTTGCGGGCATCCTTCTTGTATTCATATCATATAAACACAAGAGAAGGATTAGGAAAAGGACACTTATAAAGCTACACTCTAAGGCATGACTTCAAGAATAATGAAAGAAGTGTAACTTCCTAGCGTCCTATAGCCTCTCGCTCATAGATGTGTTGCGACTCACACCGATGAACAAGACTCTACTAGACGTGGCTTGTGAGACATCAATCCTAAAAACCATTTCCAAAGTCTTATGCTCTGAAACAATGTTTTTCATGACCCAAGGCTAGCCCCTAGATGCGACACGACGTACTTGACCCCGAAGGGGTCTCATACAAGCCTTATAGCATTTCATTGCATTCGATATGGAAATAGTATGGAATTAAAAACTTATTTAAATCCAAACAATCCAAAACCTTCATTTAAAAACAAAGCGGAAGTCTAAAGTCTCACATGGCCATCTAAACAATGTCTTGAAAACTAAACTAGGGTCACGACCCTTTCCAATCAAAAGACTAACAATTGTCTGTTACATGAAAGAAAAGAAACTTCTAAAGTACTTGTCCTCAATCTATGAGGACATACCACTTTTCCTTGGAAGGATCTTGATCCAAGCACTTGAACTAGAGAGAAGCAACTCACTTGCCGGAACCTACACTTGTAGTAAAATATGAAGAAATATGGGTTAGCACAATTAAGCACTAAGTATGATATACATGCAAAAACATGCTTAAAACGGACATTTTATTTGAAAGGCATGCTTGTATGCCATTTTGATAAAACTTCATGAACATAAGTATAAGAGACATATTGTACAAACATAACCAACATATAAGTCATTTCTCACAATAGAGCCATAAACAACATTTAAACCATTACCTTCACATTAAGCCTTCACCTCAAGTAACCCTCATGATATACCTTGTGCAATGTATGGATAGCGTCCCATACCACCATCCACACTAAAGTACCACATTAAGGTCACCAAAAGTGAACTTACCATTCAACCTTTGACCTTTACACAATATCCATTCATAAGAGACATAAACATTTCATAAGTCATGACAAGGGAAAGTAACTCATAATACAACCCAAATATAGCATGTATAGCCACATTAGACATTTAAGTCAACATTCTTCATTAGCTTCATTAAAAGGACTTTCATACATTAGTTATTAAGACTTAGAGAACTCACTATGACTCTCTCAAAGCTTACTCGTGCAATGCATGGATGACATCCCATGCTACCACCCACACTTCATAGAACTTCTCAAGAAACCATAATTCACATCTCACATGATAGGAATAAGCATTAACCGACATAGACCATGAGAGCTAACCATGAAATCCAGTGTCATATGGCCACACATAGTAAAAATGTGTCCTACTTGCCTAAGGTAGAACGAGGTACATTTAGCTTGGATGGAATCCACTAGCTAAAATCCTATGTGAGAACATAGTTATGGGATAGGAAGATGTTTAGTGGAACCCTAGCCTAACATTGGGAGAGTTTCCATCTTACCATATCCACTCGGTGCTTAGCCTCCATTCCCATAGAGTAGTTCATTTACATTTCATTATTGTGCTTGAGAGGAATGCCATTAGCGTATCAAACCAAGACACATCATTACACATGAAAGGAATGCTATAGGCCTATCAATTCATGATACATTGCATGGATAGCTCATTGAATCATCAAGAAGGGCCACCAACATTTGGGTCTACCGATACAAGGTTCATCATTTCACACATAAAAGGGCTATCAAATACTAGGACTACCGATTCAAGGCTTAACATCACATTAGTTTCTAGACTCATCATGAAAGGGTACCAACACTAGGTCTACCGGTTGAAGTCATTGCCTAGAAAACTTCATCATTCATTTGTTAAAGGAATGCCTAAGCCTATCGATTTACATTCATCAAGTCAATATACATTCATCAATATAAGAAAAGGTGCCTTAGCCTACCAATTCAAGATGCATCAATCCACATTACTTTCATCTATACAAGAATAGGATGCATAAGCCTACCAATTCAAGATATACAATTTCCATGAAGAACCCTTCACCTTACATCATCAACATTCATAAGTGTCAAATTGAGAAATAGCCTTTCAATTATAACACAATTACGTTTAATACATGATCACATTAACTTCATTGGATTCAGATTCATACATAAGATATCATGATAATACTTCAATTCCTCATTCTATGCCTTCAAGGCCATGAATATCAAATCATCAACACACCAACACACCAAAAATTTACCATAATTAAGGCATGGGATAATGATACAATTCAATAAACCATATTCCATTCATAAGCTTTCATAATCATCAAACACACTTCATAAAGGCATAATTTAGGAATTGAGAGAATTCATGGGTTCATAGAGTACTTTCATCATAAATCATCAATTAAACACTAATAAAATCATAACTTGTCATTAATAACCATTTGAAAACGTTTGATGAAGGAACCCATGAGATTGAGTAAATCCCTAGGTTTTTGATAACTTGAAATCACCTTTGGAATTGGCTCTTTGAATGAAAAGTTAAACAAGGATGAAGACCACCATACCTTTCTATTGATTCCCCATGAAATTTGAGGAAGAAACACCTTGAATCCACAAACCCTAGCTTCAATGGCTCCCTTCTTCTTCTTTGAGTTTAGAGAGAAATTTTTTGGACAGACGATCTCTTTCTTTTGGTTTTGGGAAATAAGGAGTAAAGGACTTGTTTAAAGACTTAAAACTATTTATACTAGTGATATAAACCATTTAAATTCAATCCCACATAATAATTAATAAAAGGGAAATTACTTAAAACTCCCCATTTTAGGTAGCCCCGTCAAGGACCACGCCCAACTTAACGGGTCGTGAGGGGTACCACGGCTCGTGGTGGTGCCCGTGGTCCCCTAGGCAGTGTGCTCCTCCAACTTGCCAAGTCCTCAAAGGCCTAAGGCAAGTCCACGAGACCTCCCACTATCCGTGGTCAAGACCATGAATCGTGGTGATGGATGCAGTAGCTTGGCCAAGTTGCCTTGCCACCAAGTGATCTTCACGACCACTTTGACGGACCGTCTAGGGCACTACGTCTCGTGGTGGTGCCCGTGGTCTTTGGGGTAGTAGCTCCCTTATCAAGACACAACCCTCATCATTCTAAGGAAATCCCACGAGCCTTCCCATAGCCCGTGGTCATGACCACGAGCCATGAAATGGCTCGTGAAGGCGAGCCTTGGCTTGGCACCATTTTAGGACTTATTGCCTAGCCAACCACAAGTGGCACCACGACTTGTGCTGGCCACCACGGGTCATGAAGACCCTCGTGGTCTAGGAAGGTAGTAGCTAGGCCTAGTTTTAGGTAGCCTAGGTTCCCAAACCATCGCCTACACCCAAAACCCTTGGCCCTTTCCCTTAACTCTTGATGTCAATCCCCACGTTTAGGCTCTAGTTTAACCTATCATTTTCTGGGTCGTTATACTTCAGTTGGTTGCACCTAGTTCCACTTGCTCAGCATCAACAACATGCATAACCTCGAACACTTTCTGCAATTCCTCCACAAAGTTATTCGGATCCCTAGTGACACTTGAACTGGTGAATTCTGGAGGATTTATACTTAAGAACTCACGAATTCTGGATGTATCAGCCACATCCTGTCGATCCCCTCTCTGCTGACCATCATGGTTGGCTACCATTTGATTCAACATCTAGATAGCATCCCAGAACTCAGCATTTGCGACCTTTTCTTGGGATTGCACTTCTGGTGCATTAGGTACCCCTTGATCCTCAACATTCCTCCTAGAAGGATGACCTCAGACAGCTCTTCATGGAGGCATGATATGAAAGATACGCACAAGCACGAATTAGAAAGAAACTTGATAGAGTTAAACTCTTTCGCATGAAAAGAGTACGAAAGAAGTGAGATAGTTCCTAAATGTTGCAGCCTCCTAATTATAGATAGTTCCACTTGACTCAACATTCAAATAGCATCCCGAAACTCAACATTTGTGACCTTTCCTTGGGGTTGCACTTCTGGTGCATTAGGTACTCCTTGATCCTCTACATTCCTCCTAGAAGGACGAGCTCAGACAACTCTTCGTGGAGGCATGATCTGAAAGATACACACAAGCACAAATTAGAAAGAAACTTCATAGTGTTAAACTCTATTGCATGAAAAGAGTATGAAAGAAGTGAGTTAGTTCCTAAATGTTGCAACCTCGTAATTATAGATGTGGCGCACTTTACACCGATAACTAAGACTCTACATACACGGCTTCATAGACACCCTAGGACTCCTAAACTCTGTGCTCTGATACCAAGTTTGTCACGCCCCAAGCCTATACCCTGGACGTTCAACACTCGAAAACCATTGCTGGCCTCAAGCAAACCCTTGACCTGGCTCAACTCTCAGCGGAAGACTTAATCGACATAAGATGAAATCAAATGTAAACTTTAACTCAAAATCTCAAAAGATAATCTAAGAATATTTTAGAAATAAAATATTCAAACTGGCCTCAAGGGAAACTCAAGATTAGAACATAACAACTGATATGTACAAGACTCATGAATCACTATCTATTTATCTATGAAGCCTCTAATACTATGAGGGATGTTGGGACAAGACCCCCGATCATCCTAACAAACTGAAGAACAAAAAATAAATGAGGGATCCTCCGAAAGCAAGGAGGCTCACCAAATAACTCTAGAACTCGACTGGATCAACGAAGTGCTGGTTGATGATCTTGGTTAACTGTATCTGCATCACAAAAGATACAGGTCAAATGACGTCACTACATGGAATGTACAAGCTTGTAAGGGGAATATTGAATATAACCTACAAGCTTGAACTCATAAAAAAGAAACATACTCACCTCGACTCAACTCAACTCAAGAACTACTCATGGATACTCAACTCAATGCAATATAAAATGACGATAAAAGTGCAGTTTATATAAAGCATGTAAAACAGTAATAGAAACTCAATGTATTTACAGATACAATAATAACTCAATTTGTATAAAAAAA